CTGCCCTGCCTCCATGCCTCCATGCCTCCTGGAGGGAGCCTAACAACCTCCACAGCCTCAGCTCTTAAACCTCTTCCTCCAGCAGAACCCTCTGTGTGATATCCAGACCACATTTCCCACATTCCTGGTTACCTGCATCCACTCATTTCTCATGTGCTCCAAAGGCATATAAAATAGATCAAAGCATTATTGTTCCTGAAGCAAGTTTCTCCCACACAGTCACCAGCTTGATTAATGGCAACACCATTTCCCACCTACCGCTGCAGTCAGGAAGCCGCCCCCTCCCTCTTAGCCACACTACATTTTTTAAAGTCAGCAATTCTGTTGTTTAGCAGGGAAAGTAGACTTTACTACTCTTCTTCATAATCTTATTATGTCTAGGTAGACAACTGCAGTGCTCTTTTTTTTTAATGTAGTTGTTTATTATTTATTTGAGAGGCAGAAAGACATGGGGTGGGGGACAGAAAGGGAGAATAAGAAGGAGAGAGGGAGGGAGGGAGGGAAAGAGGGAGGGAGGGAGGGCGAGAGAGAGAGAGAGAGAGAGAGAGAGAGAGGGAGAAAGAGAGAGGGGGAGAGAGGGAGAGAGAAAGAGGGAGAGGGAGGGAGAGAGGGAGAGAAGGAGAGAGAGAAAGAGCGCCCATTCAGTGGTTCACTACCCAAATTCCTGCAACAGCTGGGATTGGACTGGGTCTGGGCCAAATGTGAGGACCAGGAACTCAATCTGTTAGGTGGGAAGTTAGATATGAGCTTATCTAACTAAAGAGATAAGACATCTATATCCAGCATATGCATCTACACCTCAAAGTCATCCCCATAATGTTTCAGGGGCAGCCTGGCATTCGCATCCTGCCCTTCCCCCTTCTACCTGATAACCTGCCAGGTGGGGGTCCCCGCCCCTTCTGCCTGACAAATCTTCCACAATCTCCCAGGTGCAGCCTAGTATCTGCATTTCAAACACCCTGCTCTGGATCCCCATTCTCTAGGGGGTCTTGCTCACCCTTCCTCTGAACCCAGGATGGCGCCAGCTAGGCTTCCTCCTGTCTGATACCTTCAAGGGAAAACTCAGATAGAAGCTTCTTAACATTTACAGCCATAAAATCCTTTGTTTCAGGAGGAGATGTGTGAAGACAAAGACCCATCTCCTTAAAAACCCCTGGCCTCAACCAGACTGCGCACTCAGCCCTCTGCCTCTCTGCTGAGCAGCCTGCCTGGTCTGGCCAGGTGTATTCTCCACTTAACCATGTAACCTCGCTCCTTCCCCCCGCCTGAGTGACTGCACTCTCTCTCAGGCCCTGGAGAGGTGCCCATCCATCTTTGCGGATGTCCCTACCTTAATAAACTTTGCTACGTTTTACTTTCCACTACTCTGTCTCATGCCTGAATTCTTTCTTGCGTGAAGACAAGAACCCTCCATTTCTCCGGTAACAAATCCAGGTCTCCCACATGCGTGACAGGAGCCCAATTACTTGATCCATCACTGCTACCTCCCTGGGTCTGCATTAGCAAGAAGGTGGAGTCAAAAGGACAGGGTCAAGTATGAACTCAGGTACTCCAATGCAGCAAGTGGGTATCTTAACCACTAGGCTGATAACCTGTCCCTGCAGTGGTCTTTAGACTGGCATTTCTTTTTCCCAAAATTTCTCCTCAACCCTATTCTCTTCCCAGTCCAACTTCCAGGCCTCTGAATGATTCCCTTTATGGGTAACTGAGCAGCATTGTCTTATTAAATAAAAATTATGCGTCCACACTATTCACTTCCCTATAGCATATATGCCAACTGTCATTTAGCTTCTCACACCACCCATAGTATGACCTAACCATCTTAGCTCCGCTCTAGCCACACTTGCCCGTGTAACCTATGTATTGCTGTACTGTACTTCCTCCATTTCCTGAATATATTGTACTCTTTCAATATATGGCTCTGCATATACTGTTCATTCTACCTGAAAGATACCATCCCCACCTGTTAATTAACATTTCTCCTTTCCAGTACAGTTCAGATATTCCTCCCAAAATCATTCTGATAGTTCAGTAAGTATTTCTTGAGTCACAACTCTTGGCTAAGCCTATACATCCCTAAATAGAATAAATCACAATTTTTCTCATACTCCTTGGAGATTCTGGCCATGCCTCTACTATATATCTAATTGCATATTAGACTTGTTTCTACAATCAAATAGACTGTGTTTTATTCATCATTATATTCCAATGTCTAGCTCTGATAAAATGGTTAACAAAATCCTTACACTTCCTCTAAGGCAAATCTGACCTTGGGTTAACTCAATAACTCTATTACCCTGCTGGAGTGCTCTACTTTCTGGCCTGTAGCCTTCAGGTTAATCAGAGCTCCTTGGTAGACAAAGGTCCAGCTATGTGCATTATATTTATACAAACTCAGTGAATGGCCTAAGCATTAGTTCATTAAGGGAATCAAGTCCCTATCTCAGAAAAAGTCTGGCAAAAACATTGGGCCAATTTCCATCATCCAGTTCTAGACTGTTCTCTCTCTCTTACCCTCTCCTCTCTATTCCATCTTCTCACCCCTTCCTCTTTTTCCCTCCCTCCTTCCTTTCCCTGCTTCCTGACTTCTCAGCCTCTATTCTCTCCCCGTACCTTTAATTTTACAGAGACGTCATCCTCCTCTAACTACAGAATGCTGGTGTTAATCCACAAAAACATATTCCACGTGTCATTATTGTCATTATCTAGTTCTTTCCTTACTTGCAAATATTTAAGCAAAGAGAAAGCCAACTCACTTTAATAAGAGCTCTCTTTATGACATTGCCAATGTCTTGCCTCCACTCAGGAATGTCAGGATTGTGGTGATCCAGATTAGGAGAGAATGACAAGAGCTGGGACTGGAAGTATTCTGCAGAAGAGAGAGTGAATCAGTGAATTGAAAGAAGGAGTGACAGGCGAGGGACTCTATAATTGCTGTGTCTTGGGGAGTCTGCTCTGTTATATGACTTTAATTCCTTATTTTCAGCTCAATTCTTGGCTTCTGAAAGTAGAATTTGGTGACTGAAAGTACATTTGTGCTCGTTTGGCTAGTTCCTAAGATCTTCAGCTTTTTTTTCTTTTGAATAATATTGTCTGAAGTGAAAGATACGTATGAACCCCCAGAAGGAGATTTCTGCTGCTGTCTGTGGTGTCCTGCTGAGCGACAAATGTGTTAACAATCTGGGCTTGGTTGCAATGGAGTCTTTTCACTTCTCCTTCCCTCAGTGCCTGTGTCCATCCTGATAGAAATCACATCAGAGGATTCGAAAGGAGGCTAAAATGTTGTTGTCTGGGGTATGGATAGTGTTCAGCTTCTTAACCCGGTTGGTGAGGTCACAGTTTATTCGCTAGGTGGAAACACATAAAGCTTAACTCATGATTGTTATATTTTTCTTGTAAAAATTACACTAAACATCCATTAAAAAAATACCTTCCAGGTGCCCATGTAGACCATGAATTAAAGGTTTGCAGAGTTGTAGGGAAAGGATATTGATGAATAAATATGATCTGAATTTAACCCTCCAAAAAACCCACAGTGATAGTGGCTATGTCTAGGAACCTGGCAGGTTGTGTGAGGTAGCAGTAGAAGCATAGCTGATTGCATTAAAAACAAATTTATAATCCACCATAGAGAACAGGGTGGGGACCCTCTTGACTCTGCTCCTGCCGTTCTCCAGGCTTATATTCTTAGCCTCATCACCAAGTATTAGCAGGCAATGATGTTAGAAACTCTGACAACCACAAAAATGCATCTGTTCTATGCAGGTCTTCTGATTACTTGAGCTATCTGTTCTACAAGGGGAGGGACCATGACTCTTCAGCTTTTGAAACCTCTCGTCTCCATCTAACAAAAAGTGTTGTGAATAGCTTGGCAGGACATCAGATCTGACTCCTTCTACTTCTTGCTTAGCCTTCCTTCAACTTAGGGTGTGCATCTCTATTTAATGAGAACCCCAAAAGGGTAGTGGTCCAGATACACTGCAGGGGACAACACCTATGTGTGATCTGCTTCTCTTCTAAACTCAACCTCTCTACCCCGGAACAAGATAGGAGGTAGGCGTGGATCCCTCCTGGGGAATTTACAAATCATCTGTGATTGGCATTGGGGGTAGATGGGAGGAATGGGCCAGGTAGGAGGGAGCATCATAGGACAATTTGCAGAGCTTACCGTGTACGGCAATATCTTTCGTGTCCTGGATAAGGGCATTCCCGGCAGCCACTTGCACTGTGATGGTGTTGGTTCCTTCAGCAGGAAAAGTGAAAGAAATGCTGCTGTCCAAGGTGATGAGGGGCTGTAAGAAGGAGAGATGACAACACCCATTTAGTCTTATGTAGGATATCAGATTTTCCTCCTTTCCTGTAAATCTCAAAATGCCACAAATGTGCATAGCAGATTAGATCCCTAGGGATTCTAACTTGAAAAGGGAAAAAAATAACTTTAACAGCTTCTTAAGACTGATTTTTCTCCTAGTATCTAGGAAGAATATTAATACATTTGAAACACATTGGGAAGTGTTAATCTCAAGGTAGGGTAAGACTGTGCAACCTACGTATCCCATGGCATTCTGCCCCTTCCCTTGCAGCAAATAGAAACAGTCTGTTCCTCTTGGCTCTGGGAATAGAAGATCATTTCTGTCCTCCCCTTAATACTTGGGGTCACTGTGTATTCTACCCACACTGTCAGATCTTTTAGAAAATTTATCATATTTTGCTTATTTCTGCATCACTCACCAAAAATAACAGAAAATATGTGTAAGGTAGATGTATGGTCACACTGCTCACTTTTCATTATATTTTATCTGTGTTTTCTATTGCAAGGCTTTTTTTTCCCATTTTTAATAGGTTGGAAATAAACAAAAATATATCTGTAACTACTTTTTAAGCTCTGTTCCTTTTTTTCATCCCTGATCATAACAGATAGGAATTATAAAAATAGAGAAATAGAATTCTATTTTTCTACTGGGAATTAGGATCTTGATAAAAGCTGGTTTTTCTATCAGGAAGAAGAGAGTGCCAATGTTGACACTGAAGAACCATTATCAAGCTTTTGTCCTCTCAGGCTCTCTGTGACTGGGAAGGTAAGACATAATAGTAGGAGGCTTATCTGAGGCAGCTGACAGAGATTTCATGAGCACAGATAGTAGACTCCCTCTCCTCTCTGTGTCAGGATAAGAACAGGATAGAGTCATGATGAGCCAGGTGGGGAGCATAGGTTTGACCTTTTAAGGAGTAGGCGTGGACCAGGACTCCCACAGCACACCCACACATGGCATGGATGCATGACACAGAACTCTCAGAGGCTCCACTGCTGGACTGAAATTTTTTTCCAGATAGCAATCTTCAACTGAGCTTCTGAAAAAATAATTCAATTTCTTCTGCTTTAAAATTCTATAGTTCTATTTTATGATCAGGCTGATGGCTGGAGCTCGGACAGGATTAGAGATATTGCCCTAAGCTTCAGACACCCTTTCTTCTCTGCCAAATGAAAGGAGGAAGTAGATATATAAAAAGATACACCTTTTCCCTTAACTGAGGGCAAGCCCTCAGGTTCAGGCATCCCTTCCCACACTTATGGCTTGGTGATGGTGCACCCAAATTGTGGGCTTCTGAAATTAACAAGGGGTGAGGTACACATAGGTTCTATTGTGAACAATATATCCCATGGATCGATAGTGGCTGCTTACTGTCCTGAGAAGAAATCTGAAGTCAAGTTGGGCTCAGTATAGCGATACTGGCCATGGCCATAGCATAAGGGAATCACAACATGTGTATCACATTCTTGCCATTTTCTAGAATAAGAACTGTGTCTTTGTTACTATTTTAATGAATGACCACGGTTGAAGGTTGAATCTTTCCAGTTCTGAGTCTTAGTTCTTTACCCTTTAAATGAAGGGTTTGGGATAGAAGATCTTTAGGAACTCATTCAGTAATTAGAATCTACATATTTATGAATGGCTTTAGGCAAAATTTCTAATTTCTACCAGTCAGCGCATTAGGACTTACTGCCAGAAGAACTCCAACAACTTTACTACCTTAGTCACATTCTTGGAAACAAATAAAGACACCTCTATTTCCAACAGAATGGCTAAAACAGGTTTTAAAATAACACCAAATAATATTGAACACGTAGAGCAACTGGAATGCTCTAATTCTTGTGGAAATGTGAAACAGCAAAACTACCTTGGAAGGAAGTTTAGTTTTGCAAGAAATTGCAAGAACTTTGTTTCAAAGTGATTGTGCCATTTTACATTTCACAAATTGGCAATTGCAATCTAAGGAAGTTAGTCAAAAGAAAGGAAAACTCAAGTCCACTAACAACAATACAAAAAAAAAAGTTCATAGCAGATGATTCGAAACAGTTAGAAATCAGAAACAGCCCAGGAGTTCATCAACAGGTAAATGAATAAATGAGACACAATATATTCACACAATGACTAGAAAAGAGCCAATTCTGATACACAAGGGGATTGCAAAAGGTTCATGAAAAATGCATATAATGAAAAAGACTATACATAGATTTCAAAAGTGATTTTGCACCAAAATAAACTTATATTTTAATTTCATTTTCCCATGAATTTTAATTATATATATATATATATGGATAAATTCCAAAACCACACATGGTGAAAAAATTCATACTGTGTGATTACATTTTCATGAAGTTCTATAACAGAGAAATCTAATCTATAGTGGAAAAAAACAAAATACTGATTGAGAAGCAGTATGAGAGAACTTTCTGGAATGATGGTAATGTTTTATATCTTGATAGGAGTTTGAATTATACAGCAAATGCCTCTGTCAAAACTCAGTAAGTACACACTGCAGATTTGAACTTTCCATTGTTGATGCATTTTATAAACCTGCTTGGAGAAGAGTAGCAAGAATCTTGAACTAAAGTTAATGATTTGAAAGCTGTGTCATTTAGGACAAAGTCTATAAATTTCTTAAATGTCATGGCCAGTACTGTGGTTGGACATAGCCTGAGTGGCTCCCAAGGTTCCACGTGTTGAAATTTAATCCCCACTGGGAGGCATTAAGGGGGTGGAAAGTTAGGCTGACTGTGGTGTTCATAGGTGTGGGCTCTGGGAAGTTATCAGGGTTAAAGTCATTAAGGGATAGCCCCCATGATGGAATCTTGGTGGCTTTATAAGGAGGCATGGAGAGAGGGATCAGACAGGCACACACACACACATACACACATACACACACACACACAAGTGCCCCACCTCTCTTGCCTGTGATGCTCTGCATCACCTTGGTTCCCTGCCAATAAGAAGGTCATCAACTGCTGAGGCCCCTGGAGCTTGTACCTCCAGAACAGTGAGCCAAAACAAACCTGCTTTCCTTATAAAGTAGCCTGCCTCAGATATTTCATCATGGTAATCGGAAACAGTGATTCAGGTGGGGTGGATAGAGAGATGTGTTATACAATAAGTACAGTAAAATGTTAATGGTAGACTACAGGTGGCAGCTATGTGGATGCTCACTGCAAAATTCTTGCAACTGAAGTGCATGTTTGAAATTTTTTTAACTTTTATTTAATGAATATAAATTTCCAAAGTACAGAATATTGATTACAATGGCTTCCCCCCCCATAACATCCCTCCAACCCACAACCCTCCCCTTATCCACTCCCTCTCCCCTTCCATTCACATCAAGATTCATTTTCAATTCTCTTTATATACAGAAGATCAGTTTAGCATACATTAAATAAAGATTTCAACAGTTTGCTCCCACACAGAAACATAAAGTGAAAAATACTGTTTGAGTACTAGTTATAGCATTAAATCTCAATGTACAGCACACTAAGGACAAAGATCCTACATGAGGAGTAAGTGCACAGTGACTCCTGTTGTTGACTTAACAAATTGACACTCTTGTTTATGGCATCAGTAATCACCTTAGGCTCTTGTCATGAGCTGCCAAGGCTATGGAAGCCCCCCGAGTTCACTGACTCTGATCATTTTTAGACAAGGCCATGGTCAAAGTGGAAGTTCTCTCCTCCCTTCAGAGAAAGGTACCTCCTTCTTTGATGACCCATTCTTTCCACTGGGATCTCACTCGTGGAGATCTTTCATTTAGGTTTTTTTCCCCCCCAGAGTGTCTTGGCTTTCCATGCCTGAAATACTCTCATGGGCATTTCAGCCAGATCCTCATGCCTTAAGGGCTGATTATGAGGCCAGAGTGCTGTTAGGACATTTGCCATTCTATGGGTCTGCTGTGTATCTCACTTCCCATGTTGGATCATTCTCTCCCTTTTTGATTCTATCAGCTAGTATTTGCAGACACTATTCTTGTTTATGTGATCCTTTTGGTTCTTAGTCCTATCATTACGATCAATTGTGAACAGAAATTGATCACTGGGACTAGTGAGATGGCATTGGTACATGCCACCTCAATGGGATTGAATTCGAATCCCCTGGTATGTTTCTAACTCTACTGTTGAACTAGTAGGCTAAAATAGAAAAATTATAAATGTGCATTTACTTTATCTGGTTCCATGAATGACTCTCTTCCGCTATGTTCACTGTCCTTGTGTTTTGTTACGGTCCTTGGCTTTCTCAAGCCTCCTCCCACCTCTTGCCACCAGGCATTTTTCTCCTTTACTAGTCTTCTCCTCAGGAAACCTTCACTGGTTGTATGTCATCTTCTTCAGCTCTTGTCGCAAGGCTCTGGCGGTTAGAGCCAGTGCTGAGTAACGGCGTCTCTTCTGAGAAGAGTAGAATTCCTCCCGTTCTAGCAGATTTGATCTTGTCTCCATCTAGCTGATTCCCTAGAAGACCTAGGACCAAGTAAGAGCGCAGGGCTGCAGGACAAGGCCTGCCATCTAAGGTGGGAGAGCAAGGGCTTCCTGCCAGCCAGTCAGGGCACTGAGCCACAACAAACAAACTGTGCGGAATGGAAACACTTGTTCCCCTGATAGCAGGCCACAGACGTCCCTGCTAGGAAAATAGCAGAAGCTAATTTTGTTTTCCAAATTGCTTTTGTTTTCCATCAGCTGTTATGGCATCATGGCTGATTTCACTTCCTTGCAAAGCTGGAACACTCACCAGGATTCTTGAGTTCTTCATTGGTCATTGATATCTAGTGCCCAATGCTAAATTAAATCAAGTATTTTAAGGTTCATTTACTCAAATCTATTAGGCAAGCAGACACATTTATTAAGCCAGACCTCTGTTAATCCCAGCAAATTGGCCGTTCAGAGCCCCACAAATCCAACAGGCAGCCGATTACTTTTCTGTCTCTGTGCTTGCTCCAAGCTGCAGGGCCGGCCCACAATCAGCTCCTTGGAATAATACCGCACGCCCTGCTTAGGCTGGGGGTTACATCCCTCCCCACTGAGCATCTCGCCCGTGCGACAGGTCACATATTATCCACTGAGCACAACAGGGAGGCAACAAAGCTCTGAGTACTTGGTTATGAGATTTCCACCTGACTAATGGTACAACGAGCTGCAGGGAAATCTCAGGATGAAGGCTACATCAGCCTCACAGACACAGGAAGTTAACATTGCATATTAGAAAATGCCCACTGTTTAAAATGCATATCTTGATAAAAAGCTGCCATTTCCAGATTGAACAGACTATGCAATCACTGTGCTTGCCTTATTTAAGACCTTCAGTAGATTATACAGTAATATATGGAAAGTGCTTATCACATGAAGTGGAAAGGCAGCATATATAATTGTAGATGTGCTATGTTCAGAACTGTGTAAAATATTAAATACACCCAAAGGCAAGAAAGAAACACAGCAAAGTAATTCCTATAGTTCTGTTATGACTATGGAATTAATATGAAAATTCACAGAAAAAATAATTTTGCTAAAATGTGTGCACACGCATACACACGCTCAAATACATCCAAAAACTCATTGAAAGTACCTGCTAAAGCATCACTGTCCACACATCTGGCTCTATCTTCCATCTTTCTGTCCTAAATTTGAGTTTCCATGAAAAAATTCAAACCTTACATTTGTGTCTTTCACAGCCATCCATCAACTATCCGCTCCAAATTTCAGCTTCTTCTCCAGCTTCTGCCCAGATGAACCTTCTAGAGTGGCTTCACATAACACAAGCAT